GACCCAACTGGCATGACTCAGTGGTTGAGTGTCGACCTATGAGTCAGGAGGTCATGGCTTGATTTCAGTCAGGGCACATGCCTGGGTTGCAGGCTCAATCTCAATTGAGGGGCGTGCAGGAGACAGCGAATCAATGATTCTCTCTCATCATTGATGTTTCTATCTCTCTCTCTTTCTTTCTTTCTCTCTGAAATCATTAAAAATATATTATAAATAAATAAATAAATAAATAAATAAATAAATAAATAAATAAAGTCTGTACCCTCAAGAGTTGAGGAGATAAACAATACTGAAGGGATTAGACTGCAATGTGATAAAGGTTAGAACAAGGCACTGCGGAAGGCATGGAAAGGGTCTATAAGGCAGGGTTAGGAAGGCATTCTGGAGAAGGCCCTGCCTGAATGGGATGCAGAAGGATGAAGTACTGCAGGTACATCACTATAACTAGATTGCCAGGGTAGAAAAGTGTAGGGTAAAGTTGGGCCTGGGCAGTAAACTGAGGACATGTGAAGAAGTTCTGACTTTATTCATGAGACCAACATGAAGCCATTAAAAGATTTAAGAAAAATAGAATGACAGTTAACTACTTTTTAAATTTTATTTTATTGTTGAGAATATTTCAGATGTCCCCCATTTCCCTCCCTTTGCCCCCTTCCACCCATCTTCCACCTCTCCGAGGCCTTCACCTGTTTATGTCTGTGTCCATGGGCTATGCATATATTCTTTCTTAAAAAATATGTTTTATTGATTTTTTACAGAGAGGAAGAGAGAGGGTAGAAAGCCAGAAACATCAATGAGAGAGAATCACTTATTCAGCTGCCTCTTGACCCCCCCCACCCCCCACTGGGGACCGGAGTTGAACCTGGAACCTTTCAGTCCCTCTGTCCACTGAGCCAAACCGGTATCGGCTATGCACATATTCTTAAAAGTTCTTTGATTAATCTCTTCCCACACTCCTTCAGGCCTTCCCTCTGATATCTGTCAGTCTGATTCATGCTTCCATGTCTGTGGTTCTATCTCATCCATCAATTTATTTTTGTTCCTTAGATTCTACATGTGAGATCATGTGATATTTTTTCTCTGACTGGCTTATTTTGCTTAGCATAATATACTTCGTGTCCACCCATGCTGTCTCAAAGGGTAAGAAATCCTTCCTTTTTACAGCTGCTGAGTGTTCCATGGTGTAAATGTATCACAGCTTTTTTATCCTCTCATCTACCGATGGGCCCTTGGGCTATTTCCAGATCTTAGCTATTGTCAATAGAGCTGCTATGGACATAGGGGTGAAATTCTTTCTGATTTGTGTTTCAGGATTCTTGGACTATATTCCTAGAAGTGAGATATGTAACTTCTCATGATATTCTTCTAGGAATATAGCAGGGTCAAATGGAAGTTCCATATTTAAGTTTTTGAGACAACTCTATACTGCTTTCCATAATGACTGTACCAGTCGGCATTCCTATCAGGAGGTTACTAGGGTTCCCTTTTCTTCACATCCTCACCAGCATTTGTCATTTGTTGATTTATTAATGGTAGCCATTCTGAGGTATGAGTTGATACCTCATTGAAGTTTTAATTTGCATCTCTCTGATGATTAGCAACAGCATCTTTTCATATGTCTGTTGGCCATCTGTATGGCCTCTTTGGAGAAGTGTCTTCTTAATGTCAGATATGATATTCTTTATTTCTGACTGGCTCTCATTCAGAATTTCTACCTCCTTTTTCATGTTGAGATAGTTCTCACTAAGTTGTTTGAGCATTCTTATAACCATTATTTTGAACTGTGTCTGATAAATTGCTTGTTTCCATTTCACTTAGTTCTTTTTTCTGGAGATTTTTCCTTTTCCTTCACTTGGCGGTTGTTTTTTTGCCACCCCATTTTACCTGAATCTTCGTATTTGTTTCTGTGTGTTACATAGAACTACTACTGTGTTTCCCCGAAAATAAGACATCCTCCGAAAATAAGACCTAGTACATGGAAAAATAAGACATCCCCTAAAAATAAGACCTAGCGCAACTTTGGGAGAAAAAATTAATATAAGACACTGTCTTATTTTCGGGGAAACGGGTATGACTCCCAGGCTTTGTGGGGTGGCCTTATGTAGTTAGTGTACTATGGAACACAGTGGTCAAATCTCCTTGATCTCCTGGGCTCAATAATGTAGGAATGTTGTTTATGTGGTTTATGTGGGCCTTCCTGTTGTAACTGGGAGTTGATAGTTGTTGGCCCATTTGTGGGTGGAATCAACTTTTACCCCATGGAAATAAACTTAGTCAGGTGGGGCCAGCTGGAAATGGAAGCACAAATCAAACCCACCCTTTTATTAGGGTGACAAGGGGCCTCACACCTTGAGTGGAAGGCTGGCTGCTTGCTTTCTACCTCAATGGTACCCCTCAGAGACCCTGAGGGGAGGCTCTGAAAGAATGGCACCAGTTAACCCAGGTCTGAGTTGAGTCCCCTTTCCCCTGTGAGGCTGCACCAGCAGGGAAGTGCAGGTGGGGCTTTGAGGAAGAGAACAAGGCTGCCCCCTCCACTTGGGGTGGCACTTGCCCTTAGGGGAGAGAGAGCTGCTCGCCTCCTATCTCTGCAGGGCACTGCCAGAGACCTTGTTAGGATGCTCCAACTAAGTCAGGTCCAATGTCCAAGCTCTGATTTGTGTCCCCTTCCTCCAGTGGATAAGAGATTAGTAGGGTAGGGCCAGCAGAATCTGGGAATGAAAATTTAACCTGCCCTTTGATTGGGTAGCATGGGTTCCTAGCCCTCAAGAGGGGAGGTGGCTTCTCTTCTTCTAGCTCCATGCCAGAGCCCCTACGGACAGGGAGGCCCCAAGGGGATCACACCAGACTCCCCAGTTCTGAGTTGCTGCCCTTGGGAGGGGAGAGAGCTGCTGGCTTCCTTCAATCGCAGCAGCTCACTGCCAGAGGCCCTGATAAAATCCTCTGGTGAGTGGCTCCAGCTGTCCCAGATCTGGTTTGCACTTCCTTCCTGCTGTGGGTCTGCGCTTGACTGGTGGATCCTGCAGATTTGGGGAATGCAAATTCAGGTGGCCCTTTGTTGGGGGCGGTACAGGCCCCTGGCCCACTTGGTGTCTAGCTCAGCCATGCCCCTCCAGAGCTCTTGAAGGGAGGTTACACTAGATTTCAGAGTTTAAGTCGTGACCTCTTTATCCTGCAAGGATTCACATGTAGGATGGTGCAGGTGGTGCTTGGAGTAATAGATCAAGGCTGCCCCCGCTGCTTGGGGAGGTGCTGGTTCTTGTGGGGGGAGAGATAGCTTATCATCCCCTTTTGTCTCTGCAGCTTGCTGCCAGAGGCCCTGGTGGAGACCTCCACCCCAGTTCTGGTTTGCAATTCCTCCCCACTTAGGGTCTGTGCTTAGCTGATGGTGTGGGAAGGTTTTGGGGGGATGCAAATCCTGGTGGCCCTTTGTTGGGAGCAGTGCAGATCCTCAGCAGGGCAGTTAGATGCTCGCTCTTTGGCTTGGTGGTGCCCTGTCAGAGATCCTGAAGCAAGGCTTGCCAGTGCATGCCTCCCCTTAGCTCTGCAGCTGCCTGCAGCCTGAGACCTCACCATGGCGCCTTCTATTGGGGATGGTGCCAACCTAACCCACGTGGAAGCAGGGAAGACTGGTTCATGTTTCCAAACTACACAGTTCAATATTCATCTACGACTGTCAATAGTTTTTCCAGAGGAAAAAGGCACAGCTCAGGTTCTTTGTGGGTACAGCCAAGAATCCTTTATGCCAGACTCATGCTTGGCCAGGGTGGTGTTGCCAGTATTTGGAGGACAGGGTGAGTGCACTTTTTCCAGCTGGTTCTGTAAGAATAGAAGTGCTGGGCCTTGGGAGATGGTGTCCTAGGGGAGTGTGGAATGTTAGCTCAGGACTGGGACCTCAGAAGCCTACCTTCCTGATCTCCAGCGCTATGTCACCCAGATCTGCTCCCATTGGCTTCCGAATGCCCTGAGTCTCCTCCCCTCTACCAGAGCCCCACAAAGAGAGATATAAAAGTGACCTTTAGAGTGTCCAAGAGCCAGTCCCTATGAGTTAGCCTTTAGGAGAGTGCTGGGCTACAAGCGTCCGCCTCCCCTATTATAGTAAACTGTCCCTGCTTATTTTTGCTGCCAGTGTTATGCAGGCTCTTCTTCCAGGCCTTGGTTTTCTGGCTTGGGGGTCCCAGCATGGGACTGAGGCCCCACTTTCCTCTGGGGGTCTTTTGCAGCCACAATATTTCTCTGGCTTTTCAGCCACAGCCGCTGGGTGTAGGGACCAACCCTCTCAGTGTCTCCACTTTGCTTATCAGTCTCTGTGTAGCTTCCCCTTTTTAATCCTTGAATACAGTATTTGAGTTCAGGTGTCCTTCTGTTGTTAATTCAGGTTATTGCTCTAAATTTTAACTGTAGGTTCAGTTTGGTGCCGAGAAGAGGTGTGTTTGCTTTCACTATATGGCTGCCATCTTCTCACTGCAAATCTCTACTGTTAACTATTTTTATTTTTGAAAGATCATACTGCTCAATCCATTCACCCCCCTCAACCACCTCATCCCCCCACATAACAGCTGTCAGACTGCTCTCTATCTATGAGACTATCTCTATTTTGTTCATTAGATTCCATATATGAGAACAATCACATGGAATTTGTCTTTCTCTTTTGGACATAGACAACAGTATGGTGATTGCCTGGGGGAGGCTGGGAAAGTGGGAGGTGGAGGAGAGTATAGGAGAGATACATTGTGATGAACAGAGACTTGACTTGGGGTGGTGAACACAACAATACAGATACAGGTGATGTGTTGTAGAATTGTGCACCTGAAACCTGTATAATTTTATTAACCAATGTCATTAAGGTCACTGGTTCAGTTCCTGGTCAGGGTGCTTGCCCAGGTTGTTGGCTCCATCTTGTATGAGGGAAACAACTGATTAGTGTTCCTCTCTCATATTAGTGTTTCTCTGTCTCCTTCTCTCTACAAAAATCAATAAAAACATTTTGAAAATCATGTGGAATATTCACTTTGGCAGCACTTATACTGAAATTGAAATGATACAAAGAAGATTAACATGGCTCCTGTGCAAGGCTGACACCCAGATTCAAGGAGAAATCCTGTGGGAAAATAAACATGTAGGAATAGACAAATTACACTGAAAAGGAAAGACTAGGAAAAAAGACTAGCTCTATCAGACATATACTACGAAGTTTTCCTAATTAAAACAGGATGGTACTGGTACATCCTACCTTGTAAAAGAGTAGTATGCAAATGAGCCATCACTTCACTCAAGACACACCCACCAGCCAATCAGAGCACGCATGTAAATTAACCCCAGCCAAGATCGCTGCAGCTACAGAGAGCAGTTGAGAGGCTTGGGATTCCCCAGAAATAGAAGCCAAGTTTTCCACACACCCTGGCCAGCCTAGGCCTCCACTCAAGAATACAAAGTGTCAATTATAGAAAATACATAAAACCAAACAGAAATGGCTGCCAGCCACGTAGGGAGCAGGGAGCTTGGTTCCGTTCCAGGCTACAAAGTTTCAATTGTAGAAGGTAAATAAATTCCAGATACCAGGGCTTCTGCTTGGGTCGCCAGGGGGCGTGGCTGGCCTGCAAACCACCACAGGCCCCTCACCCAGGCCACCCCACACCCTAAGGGAACCCCCACCCTGATCCAGAACACCCTTCAGGGCAAACCAGCAGACCCTGACCCGTGCACCAGGCCTCTATCCTATCTAATAAAAGAGTAATATGCAGATTGACCATCACTCCTATGCACAATATGGCTGCCCCCTTGTGGACACAAGATGACCACCACAAGATGGCCAGCAGGGGAGCGTAATATACAAATTAGACTACTAACATGCAAATCAACCAAATGGCAGAAAGACTGCACACTATGACACACACTGACCACCAGGGGGCAGATGCTTAATGTAGGAGCTGCCCCCTCATGGTCAGTGCATTCCCACAGAGGGAGCACCACTCAGCCAGAAGCCAGGTTCATGCCTGGCGAGTGCAGCACTGATGACAGGAGCCTCTCTCACCTTTATGGCAGCACTAAGGATGTCTGGAGCCAACAGTGGGACATCCCCCTATGGCTCCTGGACTGTGAGAGGGCACAGGCCGGGCTGAGGGACCTCCCTGCCTAGTGCATGAATTTTGTGCACCAGGCCTCTAGTACATAAATAATTAAATAACCAATAAATGGAAGAGAAGGAAAACTCTCTACTTCACAGTAGAATTCTAATTAATAAATGACAAAGAAATTATGAGAAAAAACATAATTTACTGATTAGTGGCCAATATAGCAAAAGAAACAGGATATTTACATACTCCTAAAGTAGCTCTATGAAATACAAATTAACTACAAAGGAAAAAATAGTTACTTTGGAGTGGAGAAATCCAGCATACACTACTTTAATCAAGTGATCAAAATTAACATCTCCAATAATAAGATATTAACATCTTGGACTCCCTGAAATGATATACTAAGACACAACGTCACTTGTGTCATATTTTTACCATACTTATATTAGAAGCCCAGGGCATGAAATTTGTGCATGGGGGGAGGGGGTTCCCTCAGCCCATCCTACACCCTCTCCAATCCGGGTCCCCTTGGGGGATGTCCAACTCCTGATTCAGGTCCAATCCCAAGAATTGGGCCTAAACCAGCAGTCAGACATCCCTCTCATAATCTGGGACCACTGGCTCCTAACTGCTTACCTGCTTGCCTGCCTGATTTTCCCTAAATGCCTCCCCTACCAGTCTGGTTGCCCCCAACTGCCCCCCTCATGGGCCTGATTGCCCCTCACGGCCCCCCCTGTGGACCTGGTTTCCCCCAATTGCCCCCCCTCCAGACCTGGTCACCCCTCCTTCATGCCTCTCCTGCTGGCCTGGCCGCCTCACACAGCCTGTTGTTCAGTCTTTTGGTTGTCCCTCACTAACCCCCCTGCCAGCCTTGTCGCCCCACACAGCTTGCTGTTTGGTAGTTATAGTGAGGGTCTCCTGACCAATTTGCATATATCCTTTTATTATTATAGACTAATTAAATCGCTATGAATTTGATCACAATCTGGAGCCTGGACTGTTAAAATAGACATTATTGGGACAACTAGCAAAAAGATGAATAATGTCTATAGATTAGTTAATAGTATAGCATCATCATTACTTTCCTGATTTTGAAAAGTATCCTTAAGTAAGATGTTCACATTTGGGGATATTGGATAAATGGTATATGAGAATTTTAAAGTATATTTTGTAAAATTTTTGCAATTTTTGTTAGTCTAAAATTATTTCAAAGTAAAAAGTTTTAAAATAAAAAATATTAAAAGGAAAGGAAAGGAATTTAAAAATCTTGCCATACATGGGCTTCTAACATAAGTATGGTAAAAATATGACACAAGTGATGTTGTGTCTTAGTATATCATATCAGGGAGTCCAAGATGTTAATATCTTATTATTGGAGATGTTAATTTTGATCACTTGATTAAAGTAGTGTATGCTGGATTTCTCCACTCCAAAGTAACTATTTTTTCCTTTGTAGTTAATTTGTATTTCATGGTTACAAACTGTGTTTTAAAAAGGACAAGTTAATATTCTCTCAAAATAAAAAAAATATTTTCTTCTCAAATGTTAAACATATTTTGCTTTATAAAAAGCTAAACAACATGCACGGAAGATATATTTTTAATATGTATACGTTTTCCCCAGATCAATATGTTCCCTCTCTCTGACCCCTTATTTTAACTTTCCAACTATTGCTCGTTTTCAGATCAAACATGATCCAGGTAATGAGGTAATATTTCTGTAAATTAACTCCTAGTGATAAATTTACCCCAGTGGGTGTTGAGTGTCCTACAGTCTAATTTTATGTATATATTGTTCTAGGAACAGATTTCAGGGAATTCCATTTCTACCCAAGCTCTTAGATGTAGTTTAGCAACAAAGAAGTTACTTGGCTCACATGTAACAAGCACTCATGTGCAGTTATGAAGTTTTCTTCTATATTTTGAAAAGGAAGGTAGAGAAATGGGGGCCAAGATAAAGGCCTGGCAATCCTGCTCTAGAAAGTTTAGGCTACCTTTGCCAACCATAGAACTCTGCACTGATCTATAATTACCTCACAGTATCAGTTAGTATCAAACGAACTATGTTGAAGTACTTTATTTCCTTAAAAGATATTTATTGACAATACATAGCTAATTATAATGAATGTTGGGATTTTTTTGTTTGTTTGTTTGGTTGGTTGGTTGGGTTTTTTTTATTCTGTTGTAATGAAATGTTTTTCTTTGGAGAATTAAGATGAAAATACAGTAAGCCCCCTGATTGGCCACCAGAGGGCATAAGATGTTAAGAAATACAGCAAACAAATCCTTGCTTCTGAGATTCTGAGATTTCATGGTCTGAAATTTCTAGGTAACAATTTCCAGAAATGAGCTCACTTGGAAGATAAGTAAGATATATGCAATGAGGATAGAAAGAGGTTAAGAGTGAAACACTATCATTTTTTACAAGAATGAAATCCTCAACCATGTTCTCATGAATGCTCATGTACATACATCTATTAACTATATTATTGATTTAGGTTAAACATTCAATTAAACATTGAAATAGGTTGGCAATGATAAATTGTGATGTGTACAATGTTTCTTCACCCTGTGATGTTTGAGAAAAAATATAAGCTGATTAATGCAACCTTGTCTAGAAAATAAGGAATGAGCTAGCTCAGAATCAATGAGGCCAAGGTGTTGAGTTCAATTTGTGTATGGATCGGTGACCATCTCTCTAAATCAAGGCTCCCCCCTCACTCTAGCCAGGCCACGCACACTGTGAGTCTCAGGGGGAAAGGTGAGAGAGTATAAATGCACAGACATCAATCCAGCTCCACACCAGAGACTCGAAGTGATGTTGGGTCAATGAGATCTCCTCACAGACAGATAGTGTTTGGCTTTGAGGTTAGAAATTACTCAGAGAAACATAAATCAAACTTCTCCTGTTTCTCCCACCATCATTCCCTCAAATACTCCTTTCTCACCATAACGACCACCCTTTTTTATTCCCCCTCTGATAGAGTACATATATGGACGGGGTGGTGAATTACTAGACTTTTTAATGGTTTAAAATAGATTTCAAATTCTGCCAATACTTTTGCTGAAACAGCTAAATGGGCAGGTGATATTAGGCTTGGACTAGAACACAACTGGTCTACTCCCATCTTCTGCATGAGAAGGCACCTTACCCATTACATAGAGTTCCTTTCTTCCCATTGCATCGAAATCCCTAGTACCATTTTCACAGATGAGGAATTTGGAAGGAAACGGGGCATATTAGTTGGAATCAATATGATATTTCTATATCACAAACAGTCCTTGTTGATTTGAGGATGATCTTGAGCACTACTGCATTTGTACAGCTGGACATACAAGTGCACCACACATTTTTCCATGCTGCTTCCAAATCCCTCTAAGCAGGTGAAAGTAAACTAGAGAGCTACACCATCTTAACAGTTCAGTTCAGAATACCAGGCAATAATTCTCAGTCTAAGGGCTCAGGATCTGGAAGGAGGATGTGCATTATTTAGAATGTTTATTTACATTATTTTAATATGTTTGCAATGATTTTGATGTATCTTGGTTACTTTTTCAGAATAAGCCCAGAAATAACTATTATATAAATGTTCTGCATTATCTTAAAAATATTAAAGTCTAATTTTGCCTTAATATAGCTCATTGTTTTATTTCTACTTCCTCACCTTCAGCTTTCTAATCACCTTTATTATTAGTTTTCCTCCTTAGATATGGGTGTTGTTGAGCACCAGTTGTGTCTAATTGATACATGAGAATCACTAATGAATCTGCAAATTCTGACTGTTTATATTGCTGGGCTCCTTTGGAAGCCAAATTTTTCTTTAATGGACTTGAGTGGGTTTCAAAAGCAAAACTTGCTTGCATCACATTTTGGCCACCCAGGATCTGCTGAGTATCTACCCATTGAAGTTGACCCCATATTTTTGCATTGATTATTAAAAAAAAAAAAAAAAAAAAAAAAAAAAAAAAAAAAGTTCAAAGAAGTGTTCAGGTTTCCCACTATTAATTCCAGAGCTCCTAGAAGAAAGG